CTCTTAAGATGTGTGCAAACCTGGTGGCCAACTACAAGAAACGTCTGACATCTGTGATTGCCAACAAGGGTTTTGCCACCAAGTACTAAGTTATGTTTTGCAGAGGGGTCAAATACTTATTTCCCTCATTAAAATGCAAATCAATTTATAACATTTTTGACATGCGTTTTTCTGGATTTTGTTGTTATTCTGTCTCTCACTGTTCAAATAAACCTACCATTAAAATTATAGACTGATCATATCTTTGTCAGTGGGCAAACGTGCAAAATCAGCAGGGGATCAAATACTTTTTTCCCTCACTGTAGGTGCTCGCTAACAGCACTTGCCCCAGCAGTCTGTTAAGGCTACATGAGGGGGTCTTTGTCTTTGTAGCGGTTATCACGCTGCGTTACGAACCTGGCGACCCGAGTTCGATTCCCGCTCACGACCAACAACAGCGGCGAATATTTGAACCGGTTCAGGGCCTCCCCCCTAGGTCGACTCAGCCTCAAATGAGTACCTGGCGCGGTGTGTAAACGTCGCCACTCGGGAGACAAAGACGGCCGGGCGTGGTGTTGGCCACCCACCCCCTCGTGTGCCGTGCTCGCCAACAGCACTTGCCCCAACAGTCTGTTACAGACTATACGGGGGGGGGGGGGTCATTGTCTTCATGTCTGTGTGTTCATAGCTGCGCGCTAGGAGTGCTTTACTACTTAGCCCAACAGTTTAAGGGGTGAGACTTCACACTTGTGTTTTTTTGTCTCCCCAGTGGTGAGACTTCACCACTGGGGGGACAAAAGGCCACACCATCCGTGGTGCTCGCAACACATGCCCCTTGTTGCGCCGTGTTGGCCTTCACGGTGCTCGCGAACAGCACTTGCCCTTCCAGCCTCTGTGAAGGCAACATGGGCAGTGCCGGATTATCCTCGGAGCACAAGTGGTTACTACTACTTGTGTAGTAGCTACTACTCCTACTACTACTCCTAGTAGCTACTACTGGAGTAGTAGCTACTAGGAGTAGTAGCTACACGGAGTAGTAGCTACACGGAGTAGTAGCTACACGGAGTAGTAGCTACTACACATGTAGTAGCTACTACACATGTAGTAGCTACTACACATGTAGTAGCTACTACACATGTAGTAACTACTACATATGTAGCTACTACATATGCAGCTACGGGCCCCGCACTTTCAAGGGCCCCTCGCTAAATGCTTTCAAGCTATCAATTCCGGTTCAGCGATTCTGCACTTGCTCTATTACTATAGTACTATACCGCCTTCAACTTTTATGAACGACTGGGTGTTTAAGATGAGCGATTTGTCGTATTATCTGGCTGTACAGCAAATGAAAAAATGCAATGTACTTTACTATGCAAGTTAAAAATGTATGTTTTAATATTTGCGTGTTTTATTTATTTATTTAGGGCCCCTTTAGAAATAATAGTACAGGCCCCCTGCGCTAGCTCAATCAGGCACTAAACATGGGGGATCTTTTGCCTTTATGTGTGCACGATAATCCTCCTGGAGACGATCCGACAGGTACGGGACTTCAGTGTGATGCTGTGAAGCTGTCAGGGGGACTCACCCTACAGAAAGCGCACATTAAACAAAGCATTGACCACAACTTGGGAGACACACAGACCTGGTCAAGAGAGAACCCTTTTCAAATCCGCCAAACGCATTTTGTCCTGACAGTTAACCCGCCGGGTTCCGTACCACTGATTAAACAACAATCATTACTTATTTACCCAGGAAAAACCTAATTTTCTTCTAAGGAGAGTCCTGCTTTGGGACGTTTTGCCGACACCAATGACATTGTGTGTGTGTATGTGCGTGTAGAGCTGTGGGGAGCGGTGGTGTAACGGTGCGCGGCGCTGCGCTACGAACCTGGCGACTCGAGTTCGATTCCCGCTCACGACCAACACCATTGACGATTATCTGAACCGATCCTGGGCCTCCCCCCTAGGTCGACTCAGCCTCAAATGAGTACCTGGTGTGGTGTAAACATCTTCACTGGGGAGACAGACGGCCGGGCGTGGTGTTGGCCAGCAACCCCCCATCGTGTGCCGTGCCGGCCTTCATAGGTGCTCGCTAACAGCACTTGCTCCAACAGTCTGTTAAGGGCTATACGGGCGATCTTTGTCGTTGTTTGCTAGCTTTGGCAGGACACGTGAGAAGCCGGAGGCAGCCCGTACGGCAGAGAGGGGACAACCATGCAGAGTCCACGCAGGAAAGTCGCCCGAGTAGGGAATTGAGTCGCACGGGTCACCACTGTGCCAACACACTCTATTCTCCCTCCATGTTGAACAGCGTCAGCGAATCCATGTTTTATGCATGATCTTTCTAACGTGCACCAACGTGCGGTGGGTGCACTGCAGCTGTGCAACAGCGTCGTTCGTGCATCATTGTGGCAGGGCGAGCGTGCAGCTAGCCTGGCACTGCCGTCACCACTCGCAGCGAGCAACGTTGGGGCACCTTGATGCTGACTCGAGTGCAAAGCGATGCTGTTGATCCACAGCATTTTACAAACTTCCAGACATCACTGCCGTAGAGTGTGTTTAGTTTCATGTGTGTGTGTGTGGAGTGGTGGTGGAGCGGTTATTAGCACACCACGTGAATAACTCGGTGACCCGAATTTGAAGCCAAATAATGACGCAAATGGTAACTTTGAGCCGTGTATTAAATAGTTTTGCATCGAACTTAGACCCCCATGTCCAACAGAGAGGGGTCCTTGCCGATAAACATCTGGCAGCAGACCCACGCAGCATTGCATCATGCTGATAAGACATTGAATGTCAAAACCGGTGCAGAGTTCGTTTGCTTCTATTGAACCAATTTTCGCTGAGTAAGCACTTCTTTAAAAGCCCTGTGTGTAGCCGATGTGTAAAACTAAAAAATACTGATAAGTCAGCCCATTATCAAGACTTATTGCTTGACACCCTGACCCGATCACTTCCCGACTGCTTTGTCTCGCCGGTTAAAAACTCTTCACTCTGAACGTTCACACCGATAACGCGATTACGACGTTCCGTAATGGCTGGGGAGGTGGTGGGGATCGCGTAGCTGGCGTGGGTGGGTGGCAGGGAGGGTTTGAATTTCTCTCATTGAATCCATCTTTCATTGGCAAATGATTGTTCTTTCTAATTAAGTTTCCTGGGCGATTAGAAGTGCTTACCGTTCGCTCAGCCGAGGGAATTGTGCTTAATTCGACTCAGCACCCGTCCCCAGCATTGGCCGGCGTTTTGCGTGTGGGTTGCATCGACATAATCGCCCCACACCCTACCCCCGGGGCGACCGCACGCTGACCAACACGATAAGCTGGCAGGGCCGGCGGACACTACACGTGTTCCCCCACACCCACCCCCCCCCCACCACGGCAACAAGTGCCCACTCACTACAGCCGTCCTCTTCCCACTCACTCACCGCCCTCTTCCCACTCACTCACCGCCACCAGCTCACACAGCTGGCTGAGTGACTGTCTGATGGCTGAGTAATTGGTTTATTGGCTGAGTGACTGTGTAATTGGTTTATTGGCTGAGTGACTGTGTAATTGGCCGACTGGCTGAGTGACTGTGTAATGGCGGCTGAGTGACTGTGTAATTGGTTTATTGGCTGAGTGACTGCGTAATTGGCTGACTGGCTGAGTGACTGTGTAATTGGCTGACTGGCTGAGTGACTGTGTAATTGGCTGACTGGCTGAGTGACTGTGTAATTGGCTTATTGGCTGAGTGACTGTGTAATTGGCTGAGTGACTGTGCAATTGGCTGACTGGCTGGCTGAGTGACTGTGTAATTGGCCGACTGGCTGAGTGACTATCTAATGGCTGAGTGACTGTGTAATTGGTTTATTGGCTGAGTGACTGTGTAATTGGCTGACTGGCTGAGTGACTGTGTAATTGGTTTATTGACTGAGTGACTGTGCATTGGCCGACTGGCTGAGTGACTGTAATTGGTTTATTGGCTGAGTGACTGTGTAATTGGCTGACTGGCCAAGTGACTGTGTAATTGGTTTATTGGCTGAGTGACTGTGTAATTGGTTTATTGGCTGAGTGACTGTGTAATTGGCCGACTGGCTGAGTGACTGTCTAATGACTGAGTGACTGTGCGATTGGCTGGCTGGCTTATTGGCTGAGTGACCGCCTTATGGCTGAGTGATTGGCCGGTTAAATCATTGTGCTATGAATAAAGACAATTCCCTAAAATGTCTCCTTGTTCTCTTCTTCCACCCGTTTGTCCCACTCATGTGGGTCCGCTGTTCTTGCCAACCTTCTCCACGCTGCCCTGTCCTGTGCCATCTCTCTTTCCGCTCCTCGGGCCACCGTGTCCCATCGCACCACACCGCCCCACCTCTTATGCCTTTCTCTTGTTCTCTTTCCTTCCACTGGCATCACTTGAACCTTCTGACCCACGTAATTTTCCTGTTGTCTCTCCACATGACCGAACCACACCCACAGCCTTTTCTCTCTCATCTTCTCTGTGATTTCTACCACCTTGAGTCTTCCTCTAACTTCATTTCTCGCCCAACATCCACCATAACATCTCTGTGACTGCTATAGCCTGGTCCTCCTTCTTTCTTGTGCCCCAGCACTTGGCCCCATACAACAGCACCGGCCTCACCACTGTCTTGTACACTTTTCCCTTCAACCAAACTGGGACCCTCTTATTGCACACCACACCAGTCATCTCTCGCCATTTCAGCCATTCAGCCTTGGTTCTTGTTCACCCAATAACCTGATGTCTGACTGAATGAAACATTGTCTGAGTTACTAGCTGAGTGAGTGACTTAATAAACGAATGCCAAGAGTGACTATACCCAACTTGACAAGGTAAAGTAACTGACTTGCGTGAGTGACCAGCTGCCCGAGTGACCTACCGACCGTCCAATAGACTGACCGGCTGAGACCATGAAGCAATTGCTAGGCAGCAGCTCTCGCTCCCTGCGTTTCATCTCTCTGACCTTGCCCATGTAGCCACACAACCCCCCACCCCACCGCCGTGCGTTCATTGCGTTCCGTCTTGCAGGGCTGGCGCTGCGGAGCTGAGGAAGCAGGCGTCTTCCTCCAGCCTGCGCTACAGCGGGAGCCTCTCCCAGGCCTTCACCACGCCCCTCCATCCTGCGGTGAGTGTGGGCAAGGGCCCCGGGCCTCTCGCGAATGCGGGTGGCATAGCGGCGGTGCGTGTTGTTTGTTGTTGTAGTGTATCGATTCCCATTCACGTGCACCAACACCAGTGAGCGCGGTGTGTAAATATCGTCACTCGGCACTCGGGAGACCGTGGTGGCCGGGTATAGTGCTGGCCACCCACTCCCTCGTGTGTGATGCCTGCCTTCATCGATGCTCGCTAGCAGCACTTATCCCTAACAGCCTGTTGAGGCTATGGTGGGGGGGGGGGGGGTCTTTGTGTGTGTGGAAAGTGAGTTTGGTTGCACGGGGTGTCTGGCTGAGGGAGTCTGCCAGGTGAGTGTGGGTGCTTGCTGTGTGCGGAGGAGTTCCCGCAGTGCGGTTCTGGCTGTGAAGCCGGTGGTATGCGTGGAATCCTCGCTCATCAAGGTGGAACGCTGCGGTACAAATCCATCACCACCCTCGGCTCCTATTCATCGGCAACCACCACCGTGGACACATATCACAAAGGTCCTAACATCTCGCTGAATAGTGGACACGGCCGTAGCGAAGATGCATGGTAGATGTGGTGTGCCAGGTGCAGAAATAATTTCCCGGGTGCTGACCCAACCTGGACCCAGCTGGGATTCATCCCTGGCCTGACATGGAGACTTGCAGACTAACACGGAGACCCATAGACTAACACAGAGACCCATAGACCGAGAAATACCCATATACTAAAACAGACCTATATATGCACATAGGACGGATAGACCCGCATGGGATGCACTGAATATTTTCTGGCACTGCAGAAGATGGCACGTGACTAAGTCGTAGCCACAGCCATAGCGATACAGGTACAGTATACTGGATGCGGTGTGCCGGGTGCGGGAATACGCTGACCCCCCTGACCAACCCCTGGCTGGAATTAAGCGCCTTGCTTCACCGCACACTCTGTGTGCGTGGGATGGGAATCAGAGTCGTTCGTTTGTCTCTCAGTGCGCTTGTTCTGGCGAAGGTCTCAGCGGCAGCATGCTGAGTAAGGGCGGTCCACGCCTCCCTTTCCCTGGCGACCGACTCGAGCTCTTCCTGGGGAATTCCCAGATGTTCCCAGGTCAGCTGAGCGACATCGTCCTGCCAGCGTGTCCTGGGCCGCCCAGTTAGGAGAGTCATGGGAACAAAATGGGGGGGGGGGGGGGGGGGGGGAGCGGAGCTGTGGAAAAAACATAACCCAAATGTAGATTTTTATAAAAAAATTAAAGCCATGCTAACGACACTGCAACACATTTACAATCCACGCGTGATCGTTTGTATTGTAATCGTCTGCCCACAGATGGCCACACAATTAACTTAAAACATTCAACCCCCGGCCAGTCTTCGCAGCGGCGGCTACATCGCATGCTTTCAGATGCACTTCAGCGGCCGTCTGCAACGCTCTTCTTTCTATTTGGAAGTCACTGGAGCTATGCACTTTTAAATCGAAATTGAAAACTCATATCTTTAGAACTGCTTTTTGTGTTTAGTTTGTTGTCCTTCCCCCGCACCTCCGATTAGAACGGCTTCCCAGTACGGTGCGAAAGAAGTTCACCATACATATATACATTGCCGGACCTAGCCTAGCCGGGTTTCCCATTTAGCTACAGCAGGTCGGCTCAAGATTAAATAATTCAATAAATCCCCGCAGCCTCCACGCGGTCTCCCCCATGCCTCTTGAGCACGTGGAAGAACCCCCCCCCCCACTTCAGCAGTTCACCTGCAACATGGAGTGAATGCTGCAGGTAAACTTCCGACCGTACAAGCAAGGAGACCCCCCTTCTCTTTAAGATCACGAGTCCCAGTTCGACTCACTTCGTTTATTTGTTCCCCCTGCTATTCACACAAACCTTCGACTCATCAGACAACAAAGGAGTTTGTGGGTGAACGAGTTTTTAACATTGCCCCTTTAATCGACCCCAGTGCTTGTAGACCCCTTCCTCATCACGTAGCTTCCCTGCATCGTGCACCCAACACGTGCCGGACTGAGCGAGTCCTCAGAATTTTAGCAATTCCTTGCCCAAGCGTAACGCAACAAGAGCAGCGCCCAAACCAACTTGTACGAGCTTCATTTGTTACGAAGGTTTCCAGCAAAGCTTCGTAAAACCGGTTTGAAATACATCGGTCTGTAGAAAAATCTAAATTAAATAGATCCGTTTTATACATAGGCTTTCACGGCCAATATTGTGATTCATAATTAGTTTCTAATTGGGCCGGATTGTCGTGTTGTGTATCATGTCGACTTTTAGTGATAACCCTTCACCACCCAGCAAGAGGAGGTTGCGATGGCTTGGAGAGGCCTTCATCCAGCAGCGTATTGATCATGGCCGATGAAAATTATGATTTGGTGTCCCGGACTCGTACATATTAAACAAGTCGTGTGGGCAGGTGTACGGAAAGCTCGGGCAGAAGGGCCCGTAGTGGTTGGAGCCCACCAAGTTTGATTACCGGCCACGGCAAACATCAGCGGCGAACGATATCTGAACCAATCTCGAGTCCTCACACCCACTTTGCCACGAACCCACATTGAGCAGCGTGATGAAGTATGGTCAAACCAACCCCCATGGGTGATGCCAGCATTGGGAGGCCTTCATCCAGAAGTGGATTGACGCGAGTCTCGGGACCCTTGAAGCGAATAAAACGTGAGGCTCGGTACATCTTTCCTAGATACATTTCTACCCTTATATGCATGTTCAACTTATTACGCATGGTACATAGCTAACTGTGCTCATCGGAAAGTCTCACCAAGTCTCAAGACTTATTCAGGAGGGTCCTGTAAAGTTTTTTTCTAGAGGGAGTGATGTCTGATGAGTGTAATCCCAATTGAGTAGTTTGCAGATAATTTTTCAGCATTGGGATGTTTGGCCCAATACCGGTTACATTGTGTGTTAGTTTTTAACTAAGATCAGAGGTAACCCATGCAGAACAGAGGAAGAAACAGACAAACTCCAATTATTCTCACTCACACTCTCACACACACCTTATACTGTCAGATCCACTGTAACTCTGCAGAACAGGGGGAGAACTTGTAAACTCCACACAGCAAGCCGCCCGAGTCAGGAATTGAACCCACCAGGACCGGCTTGCTGTCGAGGCACAGGTGGTAGTACCACTACGCCACACCCTGCAGCCCCCGAATAAGATTTTAATCAAGCGAGCACTGTGGGAAGACCTTCATCCAGCAGTCAACAAAGGGATGTGCATTATTCACCAACGTGTATTTTATTATTATTTTGACGAGCAGCTGCACAGTTGGCTGGCCACAGGATCTGGCATACAAGGGCCCCTACTTCCTTCAAGGAACTGAAATCGCCCTTGCACATAACGCACTGCTGCTGCTGCTGACGCCAACGCTCCTTGCCCTGGTAGGCGAGATACCGGGAGGGGGGAACATTAGGGCAACCGCAAGCCACCCTCCACCACTTGCAGCCGGAAGCATGTTACCCGCTGCGCCAGCAGGCCAGCAAGAGAAGCAGGATGCACAATAAAAAAAAGCTGTTCGTGTAAATCTATCTATATTTTGTGTAAAGCGCATCGAAATGCCGGCATTGTTGACAAGTGCGATATGTTACTAAATAAATAAACAACACTGACAAGCAGACACTGCACCGCTTTCATATATCGGTTCCCTGAACGTAAAAAAATATCTTTTTTTTTACAAATCCTACGCGACAGTCTTGGGACATTATACTTTCACCAATGGTTCGACACGAGCAAAATGCCGGTTACGACATTCAGTATCTCATCAGCAGCAGTCAGCCTTGTTAGAAACAATGTTGGTGAACTGCCAGATGTTTACATTTTGATTTAAATCTTTCGTGACTGCAGTAATTCATATTCTTAGCTCTTTCGGTAAAGTCACGTTGAAGGGAAACAATAAAATAATAAAATATATATAAAACAATAAAAAATTCTCACGACGTTGCGACCATAACACAAACGGTCGTCATCACCGTTTAAAAATAAATAAATGTATGCAAACCGACACACCTGATGACGACCGTTTGTGCTATGGTCGAAACGTCGTGAGAATTTTTAATTGTTTTATATATATTTTATTATTTTATTGTTTCCCTTCAACGTGACTTTACCGAAAGAGCTAAGAATATGCCAGATGTTTATCGGCAATGGCCCCTCTCTGTTAGTTATGGGTCCTGGTTTGATTCAAAACTATGTAAGACACAACTCAAATTAACCACGAGCATTGTCAATGCAAGTAACAAAATATACGGAGGCATGTTGTCTGCTTATTTATGTTTCAAAATATTGAATGATGGACCGAAGTTAGATGCACAAAATGGGTGTGCGGAAGATGGGACATCAGTATAATCATCATCCACTGCTGGACAAATGCCTCCAACAAGACTGTCGCCATGCAACAATCCATCGAGCTCCTGCACACACAAGCCAGTTTCATTGCTCCACCTCCGCGATGGACGTGTCCTCTTGGCTGCCACTCCGATGTTAGTCTCGACCACCGGCCATCGCCCCTCCTAACTGTGACGCGTCCTGCCCAAGCACCGCTCGCTTCTCTTAACTGTCAATGTGATGATGATGATGACGATGTCTCCAATGTGCGTGTTTCCTAATCCATGCGTTCCTCTTCCTGACTCCAACTAAAACCGACAGTCCAGTACACTACTGTGTGTGTGTGACAATGGTTGGGGAGGTTTACCAGAATGGACGCGCGAGGAAGGGGACTTGCTTAGGGGGGGGGGGGGGGGGGGTGGTGGGGGTGTTGAACAGAAAGGACCCCTACGAAGGGGACTTACTTGGCGAGCTTTGCTGGGAGCTACCCAAAGGCCTGGCCCGGAGGGTGGACGCTGACATTTAATAAACGTGCCCATTGTTGTTTTAGCAGCCGCTACGGGAGATCGAACGAACAAAACCGGCGAAACTCTTGGATCGTCACTTCAACACGCAGCAGGCTTTCGTGACCAATATCATCCATGATAAGAGGTTTTTTTTTGGGGGGGGGGGGGGGTTA